TGCCACAGATTCAAGCTTACTGTGATGGCACTGCATGCCCCCTCATTTGAACATTTCATTTCTTCCCTCCACCTTCTGCTGTCTCAGCTGCCACGTGGTGTTTGGGCTGTGCACTTTTATGTTTGGCTGTTCATTTTTCGATTAAAGACACATTTACTGACGATACATCCATTGAAGCCATGGACTTTGTGAAGCAGCCGGACTCTCAAGTTGCTGCGGAACTACATGCTCCTCGCCGAGGTGTATCTACATCATCGACTGCAACTGCACTCGCTTCAGAAGAACTTGAACTCATCAGGAGACACGCAGCCTCAACCAAAGAGGCTTCTCCTACAAAGAAGGCTGGAACAGAACCAGGTTGGGAAGAATTCTTAGCTGTTCTCTCTGCCAAGTATGTTGCACTCTCTGACCTCGACTTTGGACTTCAGCGGTTACTTCGATCTTCTCCTCAAGCTTGATCAGACTTTCTGGCACTGAACCTGTCTACACCAGACAGTCTCCACTATGACTCAGGGCATGGCGAACCACATGAATTAATTCTCTACTATATTGCTGACAAGTTCATCGACTTCATCAACACCTCCAACCTCTACCAGGACATCTTTCTTGGCATGGACCCCTAACACCAACAATGCTCAGCAGAATCAGAGCTCAGTTTGCAGATGTCTCACCGATGTAGCCTACTGGCAATTTGCACATGTTTTTCAGCACTGGCTTAGGGTTAGCTCACTGCTTCTGATCCCAAATGATTCCCTTAATTTGTTGTGCTTTTCATTCACTCCACTCTGGAACCATCCTGTCACACTGATTGATCATTCGTCCTTTGTTGTATCACCTCTTCACAGCTGATTCACTTCTTGTTTCTTTGTGGTGTGCTTGTTTCTCTCCGGTTGTTCCAGTGACTCGCAGCCCAAGGATTTATTGAAGATACATCCATTGAGGTTGGACCACTTGTCCAAACAGTGTGCCACCAAAGCTCGACTTAACCAGCTTTTCGCAATGCAGTCTTCTATGACTTCATTTTTTGCCATTAGCTGGCAATGTTACCAGCATTTACTGGGCTTATTGCAGTCAACTCTTTCAAGCTACACTGGTTCCTTTTTTCATAGCTTTAGCTAGCAGGGGCCGCCAGAGCCTTGCTGGGAGACCACGTTCACCCCTTCGAGACCATTGTCTCCCTCAATTCACATTTCCGCTAAAAAGAGAGACTAGTGGTCACGAACCCCGCCGTGCGTCGCGGGACCAATGTTTTTAGTTTATTGTTGTCCTCTCCTCATCTTTGTTTGCTCTTTCTGTCGGCGTTTTGGGTTCCACCTTGCTCATTCCACTGTCTCCCGTGTAGCAGCATACCCTCAAGCTTGATGTCTCCTTTCCTGGCACAGTGCTGCCTTTTGTCTTGAGATTTCTCCAATTGCTTACGGAATGCTGCTGCGGACGTGTAGTTCCTCAAGAGCTGCATATCGCTACTGGAACATAATATATATATATAATGATAGAATACTATGTCTGTGTGTGTACGCGTAATCTGTATCAATTGTACCTCCCAAAAAAGTGATCTAGAAATCAAATTGTCACTGAACAACATCACGAGCATGTTGTGCAAGTGTCCTACATCCCTTTCGCATATACATCATACCTACATGCGTAATAAAGGCATTTGTTCCTCACAAAAATACGTCTACAACTCCAGTGTAATCCCGAGAATAACTACTTACCATTAAAAACATCATGCGAACATCAAAACTCTTGTTTTCTTCTCTCTAACGCATCAAACATCGAGCTATTTACCTGCATCAAATTTATTATATATTATATATAGATTCTAAACAAACAAACATCTGTGCATTGATTGTATACTTCAACCAGCTTTCACTGAACGGATATTTTATTGATTTCGCAGTGCTTAAATTAACAAGTAGCTTGCGTGTCACAGATACACTTTCGCAAAGGGTTGCATCCATATTTCTTAACCAAACCAAAAAAATATCGATAGGCAATGTGGACCACGATACCAATTCATCCATTTTCAGAATTCAAGAGTAAACATATGTGGAGCAACCAGCTGTAGTAACACCTGCAACTTGTGACCCAGTTTTTAGATGGTGAAGCCATCGGGCATATCCCGAAGATACCCTGATTTTTCAGTGCCCCGGGATGCCTCAGAGCTGGAAAGTAGCCATGACGAGTTTGTTGATCCCAGCAGACCTCCATGACTAGTTCATTGAATGTCCTAGATTTACATATGTTTTTCCCAAGCTTTAGGTTTGGGATTTCACTCCCAAAATGCCAGAAGGTGGATTAAAAGTCGAAGGATGTGAAAACTACTACAAGAGGCTATGAAGATGTTGTCCTATTGGACATGGCAATTTTTAAGGGTTCCATCTCTGTCCGAACATGTTGCACAAGCACCAAATCCAATGCTTTACCATCATTTTCCATTCAATCAGCAATTCTAGAGTCGACCCAAGTCACAAAACAAACCTAAATATCACAGTGTTGGTTGTATCCTCTTGTATTGCCAACTAATTCCCAAGACAATATTTTGTGGCTTAAAATCTCACTGTCGGATATATATATACATACCAACAGTTTCCGCAGATGCATGGGGACCTTATAGTGTTGTTGGTTCATACGCCATAAACGCAACTTGGGTTTTTCATCCATCTGTAACATCTGGGTAAATGATAGCATTTCACTAACTTGAAATTTGGCCCATGTTGCTGATACCTCATCCGCAGAGGAACCGTGGTACCCCCACAATATTGAACTAATCTGAAACATAGATCTCACAGTTGGCACTGTTGTTTTATACAGTGATCGATGCATTTGACATGTGGGTGATCGTTTTGGAGGTTTCTTAAAATAGGAGTACCCCCAAATCATCCACTTTATAGTAGGATTTTCCAATATAAACCATCCATTTGTTGGGTGTCCCCATCTATGGAATCCACCATTTCTACTAACCATCCTTCCAGTGCAAGGTGCCAAGGCATGCCACAGCTCTGACGAAAGGCAAGAGCTCCAGGTGAACCAAATCCAGCACCAAAGGAAAGATCTCCAACTGTAGTGATCCTCATGTCATTGGATTGGGGGAAAATCCGCAGAGAACCCTTGTATTTGGTGGTAAAAAAATGGTATGGCGACCCAACTGGGGCGCCTTTCTGGTTTCCGAGCTGCCATGTTTGATGACATCAGGGGCTAATCTGTAAAATTTCCTGCAACAAAAAGGATAACTATGTAGCATGACAATGTGTATGTATGTATGTATGTAAGTAAGTAAGTAATGTAATGTATGTAATGTATGTATGTATGTATGTATGTATGAATGTATGTATGTATGCATGTATGTATGTATGTATGTGTGTGTATGTATGTATGTATGCATGTATGCATGTATGCATGTATGCATGTATGCATGTATGCATGTATGCATGTATGTAAGTAATGTATGTATGTATGTATGTCTGTATGTCTGTATGTCTGTATGTATGTATATGTGTGTATGTATGTATGTATGTGTGTATGTATGTATGTATGCATGTGCATGTATGCATGTATGCATGTATGCATGTATGCATGTATGCATGTATGCATGTATGCATGTATGCATGTATGTAAGTAATGTATGTCTGTATGTATGTCTGTATGTATGTATGTGTGTATGTATGTATGTATGTATGTATGTATGTATGTATGTATGTATGTATGTATGTATGTATGTATGTATGTGTGAAAAATATCTGAGTAAATTATGATACTTCACTCACCTGAAAAAAGACTATTTGAGGATGATTCCCCGTACTAACCATGATTCCAGTGAGGTCGTAGTGAGGTCGTTATAATTTACCCATGTATGTATGTATATATATATATAATGTGTATATATATAGAAATTTGTATATATATATGAATTAAAACACACACATATATATACATATAATTTTGTAGGTTGAACTATATTTATAGAAACAATATATATATATATATATTTATACATACATATGTAATATATGTATATATAGATACATGTACATGTGATATATTTATATATCAAATTCAATGTGTTCCATGTATGACCATCCACCGAAAGCACGCCCACCCGCCGGATAGGCCCCAACCTTCCAAGACGGAAAGATTTCGCAACAATGCCAAATGCTATGTAAAAAGCAAGCTTCAACCTACAGCGACGACAACATATCTGCCCATATCCAGCCTCAGCAACAGGAACAGCCTCACAACGATGTGGCAAAAACAATAAAGCAACAAAGGGCAAAACAACAACAGAAAAAACAACGCAAAACAAACCGAAACCACAAGCAAGAAGAAACTCAGCAAGCAAGAGATCATGCTCCGCCTCAGAAGACATCTTCCTCTACCTGAGAAACCACGACGTAGACTTGCACGTCAGGCGCCAGCTCAGAACAAAGAAGCGCATATCAAAAACTTCGCATGTAATTTAAAACTTCACTACAGTAACTTCAGAGGCAACCGCCCTGAAACAAGCAAAAGCAAAACTTAAAGGCCACACGCTGCTGAGGGCAACGCGAAGTGCGGAGCAAAGAACAAAGCCAGTTACACCGACAAAATCGCGTGACGAAACACACTGCGGACAAGCAGGAGGCAATATTGCTCAGACACGAAAAATACGTGGAAGCTTAATGCAAATTCCGAACAAACCAAAATCGAACAAATTAATCTTACTCAAACGACAAGCTTACTCAAAGATGACCAAAAGAACTGAACATCTGCAACAACTCTTGCTGCACATTGCACATCCGATCCTGAAGGACTTGCTACTGAAGCTCTGTCACAACAGAAGCCCCAAAACGCTGATACGCACAATGAAGCTAATGGCCCAGCTAAAAGCAGATATATGTTGACAGAGGCCATCAAAAATTGACTGCTTTGACATTCTTGAATGTCCAGTTTAACATGATTGCACGCTTGCACTTGCCTAGACAAAAAAACAACTCGCATTTTTCGGGCGACTCTCGGTTTGTCTCGCGTTGGCCCCGCTGCAAAGCTCGAGGCCTAGCTGGACTTCCAGCCGACGACAGGTAAAACCCAACACGTTCTCAAGAAAGAGTTGAAGGGTTGCCCTGCGCATGCAACAGCCAAAGACAAACCGATGCAAAACCATACCTGGAACCTCAACTTTGAATTAGCAAGATCCAACTCCAAAAAAACACACCAAAAACCAAGCAGAATTCCCCCTTGAGCAGCCCACGCCTCGTTGCCAAGAATGCTGCCAGCTCTTCCAATCGACGTGCAATGTGTTTGAGGCCGCCACCACCAGTACAAGTAGGTAGTCGTCCTTCTCCGCCTTGCTCATGCACCTGCAAGAGCAAAGCCGCAACGGCAGCAAACCGAAGGTCAATTTGCATATGCTCTTCATGTTGCATGTGTACTTAAAGTTGCCATTGCGGATGCAGTTGTGCCTGTCATCAAAGTTTTAGAAAAAGCAGTGCTCGTAAGATTAGGAAACAAAAGCCGCGGGCTTTTGACGTTTTTTGGATTTCAACATTGATCTTTTCTCTGTCATCTTGGATCTTGCAAGTCATGTAATGTAAGATGTTGACAAACCACAGGTGAGGAACTGGCACAGCCGATGCGTTGCAAGGAACCCGGTCTTACTCTGCCTGTGCAAAGGATGGAAAAGTTGACACCCTTTAAAAGTCTTTGGACTGAACTTCGCAGCAACAAAGAATTGACAACAATTTGCTGCTTCAAAACTTATCATTGAACAAAAACAATGGTTGCCAAACAGGAAACTCAGCACCGAACATTGTTCTTTTGACACAAAGACTAAGACGGAACCAAATACCATTTGGGGGAAAAACTCCTTACCACCGGAAACTACTTGAGGCAAACTAACTCTTTGACCTCTTTGACCCCTTTGACCCGTTCAACCCTTTGTTGAGCCCCTTTGGACCCTTTAACCTCTTTGGCCCCCTTTTACCCTCGGTGAGACATCCTTTCGAGAAAACAACTTGCTAAAGGATTGGAAAGATTGTCAGAGAATTGTTCATTGTTCTTTGAGAACACGGTGAGAAAGTACCCGAACAACAAATTTAGGAAGTTGGTGAACGAACAATCCGCTGACATATCTTCCAATCTCTGAGGTCTTACTACACTATTGAAATTACAAGCGGCTAAACTAGACTCTGACTTCGTAACCCTTTCTGCAAACAACTTGGTAAAACCCTCTCTCTACTTACGTCCCCTTTGGTGGAAAATTTGATGTAGTCACCCCTTTTCGTGGACTTAGAAGAAAAACCTTTGTCCTTAACCGGTGTTCCAAAGTTGTTGTTCCCTAAACTTACAAGTTAGAAACACACGTCAAGCGTTAACACCTGTCCCTACACCCGAGACCCTTCGCACCCCAGCTCTATTTTGCCGGCAAAAGTGCTGGAAAATTGCCCTGCTTATGGGGGAGTTGTTCCATCGGTCCCCCACCGGTCTTAAGAATCCCCTCTTGTGGGGAACACCATGCACCGTGCAGCTAGCTGCAGCTATGGGCGGAGCAAAACTTCACGCCCATGGCTGAGCTCGAAACAAAACTCACCTTGACGGGTCTGCAGCCGCCCACGCAGCAGCTGCAGTTGCCGGAAGGTGCCAACGCGCCGCGGCAGCAATTGGATTTGAAACCGGCGCCCTTCACGAAGGAAGCGTCGCACAAGAGCTTCCGCGGTGTCGTAGCATCCCAACCGTGACTCTCTGCTTAACTCCACCCAGGTCATCTCTTGCTCGAGCCAAGTTGCACCATAAAAGGTGCAAACCTTGACCTCAGAAGCGCTATTTTTAAAACAAAGGACCTAGTCCCAAATTCCGAAATACCCCCAAAAACAAAGGAACCATCTTATGGAAACATTTTCATCACCAATGATTTTGCATACGTGTGTCTTAGAATTGAGATGCTTCCAAATGGATGCAAGGATGCATTCCATACATATCTCCTTGTGACGAAAAACAAAACACCCCAACCATAACAAAACCAGACAACAAAGCATCACCAAAAACGCCAAGCCACAGCTAGGTGTGGCACGTGGTAAAAACCAAGACGTGCCACGAAGCGAAAAGGTGCGCGAAGAGCCCGATGCCCTAAAGCAACCTGAAGCAGGGTTGGTGGTGCAACCAAAACACCCAAACGTTTCTGAAACTAACTTTAAAGCTTTGGTCTAACTTAAAACTTTTCGACCCTTTAAAGTTCACGTGGCCTGAAGAAGCCACAGTCCTCGTGGGTCGAGGAGCTGCAGGACGTTCAGAGAGAAAAGCGCGATTGCTGAATTCTCCATGGCAACAAAAAAGCAAAGAGCGAAGGGACACAAAACAAATGAATTAACCAAAAGCTGCGATGTGCTTCATGTGGTGACATGTCGTGAACCCGCTGGATGGATCAAAATCATGTTGCCCTGTTCTCACCGGCTGACAGCTGCTGTTCTTGGCCGTCACCGCATGGCAATGGAACATGGCCCATTGGATGATTCGCTCATATCTAGCTATTGAACATGGTGCTTTCCGATAGCTATGTGAAATTTCTAGAGGCTATATTTCTGTATATATCATATCCCCATTATCGCCGTGCTCAAACGTGGCACCATCAACCAGCCCGACTCAAAGCAAGGCACCGTATGTTGACAACGCCAACGCCACGCAGGCAGAGCTTTTCAGCGAGGACGACAACTCCGAAGTCGCAAGGTCCAAAGCGACAGGCGAAAGCTCCGGGTGGGCAAGGCTGTGAAGCAAAAACCTGGGAATGGAAAATCACAAGAAAATGACCAAAAAAAAACATCGGTAAATCAACATGTTTATGATCTATTTCTATGGTCCAGTTTAGCCGTGTGAAAGAACCAGGGTAGCCAGAGGGTTTTTCGAATGATCAACAGCTTGGATCCAAAAAATCCAATGGTTTCTCCTCATGCTGCAATGGCAAATTTATGGGGTAAATCACATTTTCAGACAGCAGCCGTTACGGATTCCTGGAGTCTCACTTTGATCAAACTCGTAAGGATGAACATGAACATGGATTTTTAGTATCCAGAATAGTTTTCGAACTAATCATAGATAGATTCTCACGTAATATTTGAGAATGGAAACTATATTAAGCTATGAATGGTGCCTTCACTATCAAGTAATATTACAATGTGAGGCCCCCAAGATATCTAAGTTTGTGCAAATAACTCCAATAACTATGGTTTATGGATGTTTATGGTACTTATAACGAACTAGTTACTGGGGCTTTTGTTAACCAACGTTCACATCACAACGGGGGGCCTCACATTGTAGGAATTGGATTCCCCAGGGCAATCCGTAGCTTGTGGTTGCGTATCCAATCCCTGACAGCCTATGGGAAGTGGATTTTGGATTTTCCTAGAAATACCATCGAATGTCAACCCCGGATTTTGCTAAACCATGGGTTTATGACAATTCGGGGGCTATTCCCCCAATAGTCATGATTTGATACCTTTTCTTTATAATGGTACCTTCCAAATTCAACAGCCTAAAGGGTTGGGGTTATCCATCCATCCAGGGTTGACATGATATAGTTTCAACATTCATGGGGTTTTGTGAAATAGGGCTACCCAAAAAAATCATCAATTTTCATGGGATTTTCCATGAAATAAACCATTCATTTTAAGGGGTACCCAATGACTATGGAAACCTCCATTTTTTTTCGAATGGGGGGGGGGTAAGTTCATCGCATCGCCTACACCTAAACAAAGTTTTGGGAACCCATAGCGGAACAAACGCGAAGCCTTGGTTCGGGGGACGTATATTTATCCAAAAGAAAAAACATGGTGGTTGAGAAAATCACTTTTCTTTGCGAAAAAATAGAAATTTGGGGGATGTACACCAGTTTTCAGACATACCTTGACATACAAGACGAGTCATGACTGTCTAGCAGAAAGGATCATGGACCGTCAGGCTACAACTATCCCAAAAGGGGAGGTTTGCGGCCGAGAAGCAGAAGCCCCAAGCTGACCACATCCAAAATCGAGGGGGAAGAACCAATACCTCAGCAAGTTGCAGCATTTCATCGCATTTCGGAAAACTCATATGGCTGTGGATCAATATGATCAATGCCTATTATACCATAATTATTTTTGGCAGGGGTGGAATGTCCATTTACAATCCAAGCAACCAAAACTACAGTAGCTGATGGTACGGCACCATCTCTTTGAGGTGGCCTTCATCCACCCCAGTGCATACAGTTGTAGCCTCTCTGTCATCAAACATGGCTGGAAATCCATTAGAAATGGACATTTCAATGGGAACATCAACTATAATTTTGGAGATTTTCCTGTCTAATTGCCAGAGGCTACTTATGGAAACTACACATTTCAAGCTCACCCAAGTAATGGAACTTCCCCAAAAGGCTTTTGGAAGATGACAATTTTTTTTCCGCCCAAATGGGGCCGTTTCGATTTGTCCAAAAATGAAGGACAATCTGGATGCTGACGACGATGGACTTTGGTTCCCAAAGGTGACCACCAAGCAATCTCTGATTGTGGCGAGCCACGAAAGCCTATGAAAGAGGCTGAACATATCATTTCTTCGGGTACTTGAAACATGTCTAACCTTGGATGTTCTGCATTCCTACCTAGACCTACAAACATCGCCCCAAAAAAATGCAATAGCACTTGGCCAGGCACTTTTTTCAGTTGTTTCCAGTTGCGGGTGCTTAAAAATCCATATCTTTGTGGCCTATTCTCCTATATTCGTGAGGTAGATGAGGGATAGACTTGGGAGCACGTTTCCACCACTTTCCATCCCGCCAATTTGTCCTCCAAAGACCCCATCAAAGTTAAATCCCACCAAGATTTCAACAAAGTCCCATCAAAATCTTATCAAATTCCGATTAAACTCACATTCAATTCCCTCAGGGTTTCCCTAAATCCCCTTCAAATCACCTGGAATCCCATCAAAATCTCATCAACTCTAGAGAAATCCTCCATTTTTTGATGCCTTACCTCACCCGCCCTTCCTTTTCACCGAGCCACATGCCATTCCCACAGCCAGCAGCGCTGATCCCGGCCGCACCACACTCCGCGGCGACGGTGCCAAGCCCGGCGACGCGAGGTCCGAGGCAAAGAGTGACAGCTCCAGACGAGCGAAGCTGCGAAGTGAAGAAAACGACTCGGATCTGCTGAAGTCCTGGTCCAATTTTGGGTTTCATTTTTTGTGAGGTTAATGGTTCAATTTTGGTGGGTTTGGAGGTTCTCAGGTGGCGGAAAAACATGTGAAAAAACCCAGGGGGGAATTCTGAAGCCAAGTTATTTTTGGTTGATAAAGTTGTGAAGCCCGTTTGGTAGATCGTGAAATAGTTCCTGCAAGGTGAGGCCCCCAAAGGATAGCTGCGAAATCACTAAGTTGGTTGAAGAACAAATTGGTTCACTGTTGGGTTTATGGCTACAACGAAGTAGTTAGATGGGATTCTGATCGCTGGTTTTGCGTGATTGGTTGATTTTTTCATCCTGCAGAGGTCCGTTTTGTGAATTTTGCACAGCTTGGGATGGGTGAATTTTTGGACAGAACCATCCCATCAAGAAACCACAAATATGGCCGGGGTTTCCGAAGTCATGGGGGTACCCCCAGATCATACATTTTTAGATGGGATTTTCCATGAACAAAAAACTTTTGGGTAGCCCCATGGCTTTTGGGAAACCACCATAGATAATTTCCACTATTGGGGATGGTTTATTTATGAGTTTACCACCTGAATCTTGAAAAGGTGGTTTTGGTTTTGTGATCGATCATGTCCAGGTCTTGGACCATGATCATATGAATCATAAATAATCATAGTACATGTTTCATATATTTCATGCTCGATCTATTCATCAACCTATAAAAAACATAGAAAAACATAGGAAACCTGGTTTCCACCTCCGTTTTTCTTGTCATAAAAAAAAAGAAATCCCCAGCCTGGACATCGATTCAGATGGAGCAGAGGTGAGATCTTGGGAGTATGAGGATTAAACATCAGCAGAGAGAAAAACCATGAGAATATCCATCTAAATGAGTCCTAAATATGCCTAAATAGCTACCAATTTACTTAAACTTCAGTGTAATAAATCCATGTTCTTCTGGGTTCTGCCATTTCTTTGGGCATCTGGGTATGTACATAGAGTATAAAAGTATATGTGTAACTATCCAACATCTTTGTCTCTCCAAGTTTCTACAAAATTACATGTAGAATTCAACAAACATGTTCCCCGTCACCCAACTGGTGATCGCTTGAACCAAAGGACTGACACAGGTAGCGAGGAGGCAAAGTCTGCACGCAACCTGAGGAAAAACTTGGATCATCATTCGGATCATCATTCGGGGCAGGGATGGAATACACAAACCTCTATCTCTCTCTCTCTGAATAAAATACATGAAACTATCAACAAACTTGGGGTGGACAACATTTCGAGATTTCGTGACAGCAACAGCCAGAATTTGAACATCGGAAAATCTGAGCCAAGTTCAGTCTGAAGTGATCTAGCTGGTTTGTGATTAAAAAACATATATCGGGGGCTCAAATACCGTCTGGTAAACATACCAAAAAGCTATTGAACATGGCCCAGTCGAAATAGTTGATTTCCCCATTAAAAAGCCATTTATAGTTGATTTACCCATTAAACATGGTGATTTTCCATGGTTTTTTGTTAACGTTTACCAGGCCGGGTACCCAGATCTACCCAGATCAGCCGACTTGCCGAGTCGCAAGCCACAGATGGCCATTGATGGGCCCACTTTGGCGAGGCTGTGAGTGGATGACCTGGGTACCCTTTGAACGCAGGGATTTCGCTACCGTGACCATAGAAAGTTCGCGAATTTCAGGTTTTTTTCCAAAATGGGAGGACATTCAAACTCGAAAAGTGGTAGTGGACCAAGAAACAATGACATTTACTCTCCAGCAAACTAACATAGCTATGGAAAAGGGTCCACTTATATATAGATGATTTTCACATTAAAACTTCCATTTATAAAGGATTCTAATGGATTTTCCATTGCATCCATTGCCACGTTTGATTCTCGAACGGCAACCATCTGCTTCGCGGATCATGGTGTCTTTCACCCCAGCGCCCAGTAAACATCCAGACCAAGTGGGGATGGTGCTATGATTATGTCATACTGCCATAGTTTCCATCAGCCCAAATGGCCCAACTTCACAACCCCCATAGTTTTCTATGGGATGACTATTGGTACTATGCCAGCATGGCAGCTGTGCCATGCTTCCAATCGCCAATCGCCAAGCTGCGATGCTTCCGATGTGACGAGGTCAGACACAGACCTCGCTCGGAAGTCATCCCTTTTTGGTCAGCAGATCGACCCTTTGGAGTGCGATTTGTGAAGTTCCGTTGGCCATTCGCCATGTAAAGAAAACAAGTCTTGGCTGGCCAGATATACAAGAAATAAACAAAAATAAAAATATATATGTCTACCTGCTAGCAATTTCGAGCTTGACAGGAAATCCATGGCCCCAATTTCCGATGATCAGAAAGTACCTCTCGAAGGACACGTGCAGTGCTTGGTTAGTAGGGATTCCCAGCTTCGGTATATATTATAGGAATTCAATACTGATTATCACTGGTTCATTTGTGATTTCATTATTCTTGGTTGGCTATACAATAGGAATTCCAATAATAACTGGTTGGTTATCCAATAGGAATATTCCAATTCATTATCCAATTATAGAAATTTCATTAGTTTGAAGAAGTGGAACGTGTGAACGATCCACAACGCAACATGGCACATGGTTTTCCCACTTAGCTCAAGGCGCCTGTATTGGGATTGGGCCCATATGTTACAGATAGATACATGGTGGTTCATGGAGCTGGTGTGGAATCATGTACATCTTCACACCCATCTATCTTTACAGGTCCTGAACCACTACTGCATATGGCCCTTCGTGGCGCGGTTGTCAGATTGAACTGACCTGTACTGCACAGCTTTGTCATGGCATCCCAAAGCATGTGCTTGGTGAGACCATCGCTGATCATGTCTTTGGTGCTGATCCACCAAAGTTGATCTGTGCAATCCGAAGGGATGGATTCCTGTACATTCGGCTCTCCACATTCTGTACCGGGAGCCCTCCATAGATCCTGTCGCAAAGCAGTGAGGTCGATTGCCAACCGTTTGTCGGCTACCACTCCTTGACCAGTTGATGACATTGTGTCCACATAGGACCTGCAGTCTGTCAGCCAGTGGATCATGCGAGAATCGCTCGCTGCCACTTTCCAGTCCAGCTGCTCACGTAGTCCAGTCTTCTTCGGGTTGGTCATGTTGTAGAGTAGTGCTCGGACGTACTGCCCTGCTTCACTCCCTCCGATGCTGCTCATCACCTCGGCATGCAGAGTTGAGCGACACACTCGGCGAATCGTATGTGACTGCCACTCCAGGATATGCACGTTTGCTGGAGTGCTGAGTGTCGGCATCCTGTCTGCCAACAGAAGAAATCTTCCGGCCTGGGAACGATGGCCACTCTTCCTTCCATCCTCAGCTGTGTGTTCTTCGGCTCCAAAACTCGCATCCGTCACAGATAGCAGCACTGCACTGTGAAAGTCGATCTTGTTCTTGACGTAGCGCAAGCCATTGCCCGTAGTGCGCTGCGCTGCAGACAAGAACTTGTTGGTGTTCACAAGATCCTGATGTTGAGGTCGCGCTTGCTTCCCTTGAAGCGCCGAACATCTGTATGAAAGCTCTGGCCTGCAAAGTCTGGCGACGTAGCCGATGCTTCCCAAGACGGCCCTCATCTGCGATTGCTCCTCTGCACTCGCTGGGTCAGCAGGACTTCGGTCTCGGCGTCCCTCAATGTGAATCGGCTTCACCTTGCTAAGCAGCTCTGGGCAAGTGACCTCATAGTAGTCATCCTTTGACTCGATGCGCCTGCCACAGAATCGGAAGTTCTCCTCCTCGATGCTGCCAAAAGTGAAACGTTCTTGGATCTTGTCCATGACACTGTCCATGGTCTCATCTCCTGTCCAGATGATGTCGTCCACGTGTGTTGCTGCCAGTCCATGTAGTTCTCCCTGATCTCCTGTCAGTGCATAGAGTGCTGGCTCCACCTCACGTAGTCCTTGGACTTGCATCTCATCTCTCAAAGCTATCCAGAATCCTCGTGGTGCATCCTTGCTCCCATAGATTGACATCAAAGCCACAAGGTAGCTGCCAGGTTCGACTGCGTATCCTTGTCCGTCAGGACCAGGAATTCCTGTGTTGGGAACCTTCATCAGCAGCTCTCGGTTGATAGGACTTCCTTGGAGAAAGGCGGCACTGATGTCGCCTGCTCTCAAGCGTCTCCTGGTGCATGCTGCGAAGCTGATGACCAGGTGTGTTCCAGTTGCCGTGGCTGTCGGGCAGTCGACTCTGAAGTCTCCTTCTTCCAGATCTCCTCGAAGTACCAATCTGCTCTTCAACTTCGGCTCCACCTCTGGTCCTCCTTCAACTCGTAGTCGAGCATGCTTGTCCACGTCAACCCATCGCATTGGCACGGGCTTGATGCCAGCCATGAGCATCTGCTCCACCTCCTTCTTGGATGGAACTCTGGTCGCTTTGTACTTGACCCAATTGGTCCATTCCTTGCCTCTGGTGATGTCCAACTGTCGTTGCATCTCCTTGGTCTCTCTCTCATAGCGCAACTCCCCAGTGCTCTTGGGGTCTCCTCCTTTCTTGTTGTACCTCTTCGCCATGAAGCTTGTGAACTCCTTCTTCAAAGCTTCTGGCGGACTCCTTGAACGTGGTCTGTTCATGGTCCTCTCTGCTGCGCTCTCTTCCTTTGTCTCCTCTCTCTGCGTCCTCATTGATTTTGCCATCTTGGCTCCAACATCAAGTTGGTTTCCTCCTGCAATTGCCATTGCTTTTGACAGCGGTGTCAGAACTGTTGGTGGTTGTGGTAGAGATGGTGTCTGCACCGTCCTCGTCGATGAAGTTGCTTGCTCCTCCACGGGTGTCCTTGGGCTGTAGCCAGGACTGTTGGCCTCCCAGTTGGTCGGACTTGTTGGCACAGGCACTTCATGTGGTGATGTCCTTGATGCAATTGATCTTGCCTCATCCTCTTGCTTCTTCTCCTCTTCTCTGATCAATGCTCTCATCCTCTTCGGTGACTCATCTTCATCACCTCCTCGTTCTGTAGGTGCAATGTTGCCAAGTCCTCCTCTGGGTAGTGCGGCTCCTGCTGCATCCTCATCGTCCTCAACCTTCCGGAGATCCAAATAGGACGGCTGTCCAGTTGATCCCAACTGATGGTGTTGTGCTGGATCCTCGTAGAGTAGTCCTCTGCCTCTCTTCTTGCCCTTGGTCACGCCAATGAGCTCCTTGGTGAGATATTCCTCTGAAGTTGCTGCCCTCACCATGGTCTCTGAAGTGAGAATTGGAACTCCTCCATGCATGATCCAGACATTCTTGCCCTCCTGTGTCAGAACTCGTCCAGGTCCATACCACTTGACGGCTCCTTGCTTTCTCCTCATGAAAGCAACCAGATCTCCTTGTCGGAATTGTTGAGCTTCTCCGCCACCTTTCCTCAGCAATGCCTTCTGAACTCTCCTCCTGCTGTCTTCTTCTGCCCAGGCAATCCTTGCAGCCTCTCTCATCACGTTCCTCCTGTTGAACGTGGATTGCGGATCCTCATCGTGAACCACGACTGTCTCTTCGTCCTCATCTGTCCATCCTCCAGCTCGTGGATTCCGGCCAAGTACCCATTGGCTCGGAGAGAATCCTCCAATGTTTGCCTGACGGTTCTTGGTCTCCAGGCACTGCATGAGCACAAGCTGCATCTCTGATTGTCCTGTAGCCTGCGTGGCCATGACGACCTTGTTGATCATGAGCTTCAGGATACCTCCATGTCTCTCTGTCCTCCCGATCTGGAATGGGGCTTGTGTCGCTGCAGACCTCACCTCAACTCCAAGCTTCTGAAGCTCTGAGAAGAAAACTCCTCGGTTGTGAGTGCCTCGGTCCACAGTGATGGATTTCGGTGTTCCTGCCCAGCTCATCCAAAATCGAGTGAAAAGGTCCAAGCATAGGCGGCTGCTTGGAACTCCAGCTGCGATGCCAAGCACTTCTCCAGCTTGGAATGTTGTGCCATGACATACAGCATGTAGAACTTGGTATCGGTTTCCCTCTGCATCTTTGACCTCAAAGACGTCCAATCCAACATCCTCGGCAAAGGTGTAGGGATTTGGAGCTTTCACAACTGCGGGATGATGGCCTTCTGAAAGCCTCTCGCAAGCTGAACACTTGAAGTACGTCACTGCTGACACCACATTGGCTGGTGCATTGGAGTACCTCAGCATCCTTTGCATTTGTGGTCGTGTTGCATGACTTGTCATGACATGCAACCTTCTGATGCCAATCCTCTCCTTTCTGCTCAGCTTGGTCCACATCCTCCTTCTGATCTTCTCGGCCTCTGGCTCCTCAAGTCGTTCTTGATCTTCCAACGCCTCCTCTCTTGCCAGATCGACCTCTGCCTCCTTGGCTGTCGGCTTTGCTGAAGGTAGATCCTCTTCTCCATAGATCTCATCCAGCGCATGTGGCTCCTCTTCCATTGCCTCTTGCATAGCCTCTCCTGCGAATGCTGTTGAGACTGCATTCTCCAAGTCGATCTGAACTCCTCGGATGATCCTTCTACACATCCTCGAAGTCCACTTTGCTGCTTGCCTCGTTCTCGCTCCTCTCGAATTGTTGCCCTCCAGCGGTTCATGCTCATGATCTCCGCTGCAGGTCATTCCTCTCATCATGGTCTTGATGCCTGGTGAGTCTGTCCCAATGCCTGTGGGTTTCTTGTGCAACAGCTTGGAGTCATAGTCCCGAAGTCCAAAGGCGCATGCATCTACCCTCAAGACCTCGAACTGCTCCTCCTCACTTCGTCCATATTGATGCGAAGATAGTGACATGATCTCCTGAGTGTTCCAAGCCTCTGACGGCCATGGGTTCTCGACCATCGTCACTCCTCCTTTCTGCTGTTGCTTCCTCACCATCTTCTTGATCCATCCTAGGATCGGCAACCATTTCTTCCGCTTCTCCTGAACGATCTCCTGATCTTTTGCCATCCTCTGCCATGGTGACCAGGGTCCACAAGGCCATGCCACAGTGAGAAGGTACGGGTTCTCACGATCCAGCATGTCCTCTGCCCATCTTCGATGCTTCGGGTCGAAGACATTCCACCCGTTGTTCATGTCCAGCGGTGTGCAGGTTTCATAGCCAGCTGCTTGAAACATCCTTGTCAACAAGGCACATCCGCAGAACAACTCGAAGACAATCTTCCAGCGCATGGGCAAGAAAGCTTCTCTCCTGGTCAGGACAGACCAAAGCGCCATGTCTTTCTCCTCCAAGTTCTCAACCTCCTGTTCCAGCTGCTTCCGCTGGCCCTTGGTCATGGTGCGCTTGGTGTCCTTGGGGTCCATGACATAGTCGGCCAACTCCGTCTCCAAGGGCTTGAGTCGGAACGTAGTGGTTCCAATCCATGGGCTCTCGTCCTCAAAGTCCTCGAAGACGTGGAATCTCGTCCTGATGTAGGTGACTCCATTGGGTAGTAGTCTTTCTTCTCGTCCCTCCTGCATGAGGTCATACTCAGTCTCGTCAGCGATCTCTTCTCCATTCTCCATGTTGTAGGTGATCCTCCGGACAACGTGGAGTCCAGGAGGTGCCTTCTCAAAGGTTGTTGCCTCCGATCGCTCCTTGACGTACTGTCCTGGAAGTCGATCCTTCCAGTTGTCATTCACGGTCTCCGTGTTCCCATCCTCGAAGAGCTTGTAGGTCACTCTTCGTCCAGCAAGCCTCATCAAGTCGACGGGCAAATCCATTCGACTTCCTGTTGGGTAGAACGGCATAGTCCGTGGCTGCACATGGTGTCGGATGATCTCATTGTCTTGGATGTCCCACCAGTCAGTCTCCTCATCTTCTGGTCGGAAAACATCCTTCTCCTTCGGAGATAGTTCTCCTTCTGGCTGACCTTCTTCCTCTGGCTCATCCAAGATCTGCTCCTCCAGTGGTGCGTCATCTGTTTCATCTCGATCCCATGTCTCATTCTGTGTCGTCCCAGCGGGTTGTGATGCCTCCTCTTCTTCGACCTCAACCCACACGTCATCATCCTCCTTGTCGGTGTTCTCCTCAGATGGTCTTGCTGAAGATGATGCTGCTCGAGTTGGAACTACTCGCACCTCAGATGTGTATCGTTGTCCATCCGGTGCAATTCTGGTCAGCATCTCGCTGGGTGCTGCTCTGGCCTTGGGCACTCCTCTCTGATCTCCCTCATCCGAAGTCCTCCATGGTGGCTTCTTGTCAGAGCCCTCACTCGACTCAGCCATCAGTGCAACGGTTTCAACCGGTGCCACATTCATCTCCGCGAACTCGGCTGGGGTGATCTTGAGGCCCAAAAGGCGATTCCTTTTGCCTCGAACTGCCTTGAAGGTCATGTTCAACAGCTTGCTGTAGATGGTCGAATCTTCGAAGTCAACGACCAATCCAAGAGCCTCTTGTGAAGGAAGGCTCAAAAGCATTGGTGCTTTCGATCCCTCGATTTCCATGCTGGTGACTTCTCCTGGAACTCCTTCTCCATTGTTGTTCTCCAGCATGACATAGAGAAGTCTTTCTCCCAGCGTCCTCGATCGTCCTCCGATGCCGTTGAGCTCGGTTGTCTGTCGATGTAGCCATTGTGGATGATGTTTCGTCATATTGCTGAACCTCTTCATCCACAGCTCCCCATGACAGGTCTGGTTGCAACCTGAGTCAAGGAACATGTAGGTCGCTTCCTCGTCCTCTGTGTTGACCCACATTGCCACATCGTCATTCTCATCAATCTCCTCGACATCGACGACCATGTAGGCTGTTGGTGTTCTCGGTGGATTCGACTCTTCTTCTGCTCTCCTCAGTTGGATGTACTCCTGCCATCTTCTCATGCCCTTGCAGTAGCCTTCGCCCTTCTGCATCTCGTCCAACGTCCAGTTCACATAGGAAGGTTCGTTGTCGTAGACCGATCTGAAGCTTCGTCCCTTGTACTTGCCGAAGTCAAACAGTCGATCACCTTCATCTCTGTTCTCACTTCTGGCCGTTGAAATGGATGCTCCTCCAGGTGTTCCCACGTAACCTTGTCCTGAAGGTAGAAGTGGTACAGCTCGATGAAGTTGTGCTGCACAACAAAGCGAAATAGCGTTGACAATCTGCATGAACTCCTGCTTGGTGATGGAGTTGTGGGCATTGATGTGAAGTCGAACCATGCGATCCAAAAGATCTCGGCATGTCGTCCACTCATCCTCAGATGTGAACAACACTGCATCCTGCACTGTCGACATAGAGGTCCTCAGTGGCGTCGTTGGTGGAGACGACATAGGTGTAGTTGCCTTCGGTAGTGTCCTGGTGGTAGATCTCATGGTGGATGATGGAACTCCTGCTGCAGGAATCGGCCTCTCATCTCCTGGATTCCTCTTGACCTTGTCGCTGCATCCACAGTCCGGGCATGTCCAAACCCATTGGTACCCGTTGGATCCTTTCCAAGACACATCATGGTGTTGACACACCTGCGGATCAATCTGCCTCATGCTGATGTCCTTGGTCACTGGTGACTTCTTCTCCTTGTGCATCACCAGTCCACAGTCCTTGCAGGTCAGCATGTCTATGTAGGCATTCGATCCTCTTCTTGTCGTGTTCTCATGTGGGCAACCGCTGTCTCCTCTAGGCGTCTCTGGAATTGGCACTTCGCCAGCTGAGAATCCCATAGTCTCCTCAGTCGATCCTCTCGCCTGATGCACGTAGAAGCCAGGCGACTTGGGGTGATGCATCTGCATCATCAGATCAGGAACCAGACTTCCTGAAGGTGGTCGTGCTGCTGCCTTGCTCTGTGGTGGCATGTAGTGTAGCTCCTGTTGGAACTCCTGCTCCAACCTCTCTGATGGCAAGGTCATCAGCCTTCGCACCTCGTCCTCAAGTCTTCTCTGATCTACATCATCCAATCCTGGGTTCCCTGGACCGGAAGGCTCATAGCGATGAACCATCCCCGCAAAGGGTTCTTCCTGGTGGCTGTCTCTCACTGAGAAGTAGACAACCCTGGGCTTGCTTGGTGATCCCGATGTCGATCTCGTTGAGCTCGGCGATGATTTGCCATCATGCTTCCCCTTGCTCTGAACCTTGCCCTTGTCCTTGTTCTTGCCTTTGCCTTTGAATCCTCCTTTTCTCTTCGGGCAGATCCAGTCTCGTTGCCAGTGTCCCTGCTGTCCACAAGCTCTGCACCTCGTCCTCTGCTTCGCAGCCAAAACCTTGGCCTGCCTCTCCTGTGGTGTCTGGTTGTTGTTGGACTGGTACAGGCTGTTACTCGCAGGAACTGAGTAGCCTCGATGAGCTGCCTGTTGCCTCGAGTAGAACGCAGCTGTCTCGTGCTCCACAGTGTCGTAGATCAGCTCCAAGTCCTCAGCTGAGCACGTCTGTGCATGAATACCTTGGTCTGCGTACCATGCCACGATGTCCTCTTCCAGCTGTGTCCCCTCAGGTCCTTCTGGCATCTCATCATAGTTCTCGTCGTAGATCTCCTCATCATACTCGGCATTCTCAGGGGTCTCGTCGGTCACAACAGGGTTCTCATCCTCAGCCATGTAGGACTCCGCCATGTAGGAACTTCGTTGTCCCCAGCCCCATCGGCCTTTGTGATCTCCTTTGCCTTTCCTCTTCTCCCTGTCATGTACCGCTCCGAATTGATCTCTCAGCGTTGCCGCCAACTTCTTGAGGTCGCTGAGATCATTGCTCATCACCGATCTCACCAGTTGCTGCTCCATGGACGTGAGTCCACTCTGTGTCAGCATCTGCTCTCCTAAGATCGCTTGGCTGCACTTGACCTCCTTGTCAAGCTCGGTCAACTGGTTCCACCAAGCTTCCCTTCTCAGCACATATGATGCCATCGGCTCGGCGTTCTGTCGGCTCAGCAAGCCAGGCATAGATCCGGCTTGATAGAGCTCCACTGCGGCTTGTCGGCGTAGTGGTAGTAGGTCTCTCTCCAGGGCATTCATCAGCTTGGTGACTCCATCAGGCTTAGCCAACTCCTCGATCCCCAAGGTCTTTGCGATCTGCAAAGCCGGCCCTTGGAGCCTCTCTGTCAGCCTCAAAGCCAGTCCTCCAAGCTTCTTCCTCTCAGCTTCACTCATCTGTGACTCCTTCATCTCGATGGCCTGCACCTGGAACTTATAGTTGGCCCACTCCTCTACTTGTCCTCCATAGCCCGGCAGACTCCTCGCCTCAGGCACCACCGTCGTAGGTCTGAAGTTTCCATACTTCAGGTTGTCCAGCGCCATAGGTGTAGGGGCTTTCCAGTCTTTCACCTTGGCAACCAGTGTGTAGTCGAAGTTTTGCAGGGAGGTTGCAAACGCTCCCGCTACCAGTTTGAAGAAGTGGAACGTGTGAACGATCCACAACGCAACATGGCACATGGTTTTCCCACTTAGCTCAAGGCGCCTGTATTGGGATTGGGCCCATATGTTACAGATAGATACATGGTGGTTCATGGAGCTGGTGTGGAATCATGTACATCTTCACAATTAGTGATTATCACTGGTTGGTTATACACTAGGAATTCCATTACTGATTGATGATGGTTCGATACATTGGATCCGACATATTGAACCCTGGGCATTGGATCGTGTTGCCAGCAGCCAGCATATTTGTCAACGTGCCATGTTTCCCAGTCAAATTCCATCCGGGTCAGAATTACTGACCCTAAGATTGACAACAAGTTGAAAGCTGGTTGGTGCTTTGAACCCTTCTGAAAAAAATATATTAGTCAGATTGGATCATCATCCCAACTATTGGGGAAAATAAAAGCCATGTTCCAGTCACCACCAACCAAATATATTGTTATTCCACTTATTAACCACTATTAACCATTATTAACCATAGATTAACCATTATTAACCAACCAGAAAGTAGATGTGTTCCCAGCTGTTGCGGCCAAGGGGCAGCACCGAGCCCATCCGGCCAGGATTCTGCAGAAGCGACGTGAAGTCAAAGTGCGCCAAAGACAGCGCTGACGAAGAAGAATCGGTTTGCGACCTCAACTGGGTTAATATACTGTTAATACTGGTTAATATATGCTTATTATATGGTTGATGATGGTTAATACATGTTAATAATAACCTGGCTTGGTGGTGCAATTTCACCATCTTGAAAAATGATGGAGTGAAAGTCAATTGGGATGATGACATTCCCAACTGAATGGAAAAATCAACCAAATGTTCCAAACCACCAACCAGCCAAAGGTTCAACAAATGATCCTAGTTTAGGTAAATGACAAGCAAACGATATTTTCAATGGATTGGTTTACGGGGCAATTTGAAAACCCCATATTTACTGGGAACATCTATGGTTTCCTGTAGATTTTCCCTTAAACCAATCCATTGATATTGAGGATACGCCTTGACTATGAAGTGATTCCACGCTGTGGTGCATATATCCCTAGCCTGGTGCAAACACTGCAGGAATAAATGCTGGTTACCCAATGATTCAATGCAATGAAGCTCCGATTTGGGGATGGTGGAAATCCCAGTGATTTCCTGGAGGGGGTTGGTTGATTGTTGGGTTCACTACATTTACCTCATCATTAACCCAACAATAAACCATGAAATGTATTGAACTGTAGTGAACCAACAATAAACCAACAATATACCAACACTATTAACCATGTATTTAAATAAACCACTAGCATCATTCTGAATCCCCTTGCAATATATGCTCCTTGGTTGTTGGCCCTGGCGTGTGAACTATCAAGCTATCATTTTAACCGCCCACATTTGGTGGCACCCAGCACTTTAGATTTTGGGGGGTCACATCACTGTACTATCACTATACATATCCAACTGTTTGAATGCTTAAAAACTAAATCCCCACATCTGATCGTGAACCATGCTGGTTAACTCGCAAATTTCATGATTTTCATGTGGGATCGGAATCCATATCTAGCCTTTTATCCCATTTGCTTGGCTTCATGTTTTTTAGCTAGCTAGGTCAGTACTGATCTCCAACGAAATGACAAAAAAGTAGAGCAAGACTAACCCAACCCCATTCCCCGAACATCAAACACTGCCCTGGACCATACAATGGCTGAGTTCAATTTTTTCGGGGGGCGGTACTACTTTAATATAGTTAGGAAACTCAATTCGTAGATCCTTGACTCTCCATACAAAATAGGGAATATGAATACCCCTTGCTCCGAACAGCTCCTTCAGTTCAAGTTTTTGCAAGGTGAGGCCAGGGTAAGGCCCGCATTTACGATAGTTAAGTTGGGAGCTACATAACTGCAATAACTATGGTTTATAATAACTATGGTTTCCTGTTTATGTTGGTTGCGGTTTCTGCTACACACATCTAAGTTGATAACTATAACAACTATGTTTCGTTCATGGGTTCATAACCACCAAACATAACATGGGGGGCCTCACCTTATACCAATTTGCATCGTTCAAAGTTCAACGCTCCCCCCGTGCCTCCCCAGCACCGGCAACAGTGAAGCCATCTGGGCCGGCTGCCGCGACGACGAGGCCAAGTCCGAGTGAGCGAAGTCAGAGGCGAAAGGCGACACGTCCGAGCAAATGGGGCTACGTACCTTGGGTGCTGAAACTGGGCATTTCATCATAGGATTTAACAATTACCCGGCCTGGTAAAGCTACAAAAAGCTATTGAAAATGGCCATAGAAACCATAGAAATAGTGGATTTTCCCATTAATAGCATGGTGATTTTCCATAGCAAAATGTTAGTTCACCAGAGGGTAACAATTAAACAACAGGGATCTTGTTGGATTGTTTGAGAAAGGCTTTCACCTGTTTAATTGATGGATTGTTTTAATGGGATAGTAATGGGAGTTAAGCATCTACAATAGGGATATTGAAAGTATTTATTTTATAGAGATAATCTGGAGATAATAATTGGGTTTAACCATTAGACAGAAAAACAATCGGATTCAACGACTAAATATATGAATTGACAATCAACGATAGGGATATTAATAGCATTTAATGGACTACTAATAGGGATGACAATGGAGATATTCATATGATTATATATAATGCGCCAACACTACGTAGGGAAATATGATATTTTCATGGGATTTGACAGGATAATCATGGGGATAACAATGGGGATATCAATTGGATTTGATCGGTTCATCATAGGGATAGCAATAGGGATATTAACGGGTTTGAATGGTATAATAACAGGTTCATGTATAATTATATAGTAGGATATGAATATGATATTAATAGGATTTAATAGGGGTAAATCATCAACAATAGGGATATGAAATCCCTATTCTCCCATTAAATCACCTAGAAATATGGAGGAATTGACTTGCCTCAAGGTATCATGGCTGATGTGAAACACACGTCATGTGTGTTTTGAGTGGCTAGTATTTTGCGCCATTGTTCCGCATTTGTGGCCAAGAAATGAGCGGTTTGAAAATACAATGTTTTTACCATCTCACAAAATACTTCGGTGAGAACGGTTTCCCTACTATGGGTTCGTTCACAATCCCCAATAACCCAGGTGGTATGATTCCCGCTTTCATAACCATTCAACTCAGGTATTTGTCATATAGCTCAAATTAGTGTTAACTATTGAAATCGGACCGGTGTCCGGTGGGTTCCTGTTTTCTGGAGGTCTTGCTGTAACTTTCCCCATGGTTGATGGCCACGTCGTCGGGGGGGTACCGATTTCAGACAACCCCAGGAGTTTTTCCAGCCGTTTTTCAAGCAAATTTATGGCGATGAGTCATTGGATGCCGGGGAAAACCAGGAGGATTTTGAGGATTTTTTTCTGCACTTGGGTGTAAAATCAGGGATTTTCCGACTTTCCCCGCCCCAAATCCCCAAAAAAAAATCCGCAGTCGTCGTGAATCTCCCATTGGGCAAATCACAAATTCATCAGCAAATCTAGGAATAGACACTACTGATATCATAGCAAATTGGTCATATATCCCATTCACGAAATATCCCCATGAAATCATCATAAAATCACCATTAAAACTATAACATCACCATGAAATCACGATCAAATCCGAACAACACCATTCACCAAGAGGTTTTGTTCCACCTCCATTCGCCCCCACCTCCGGGCAGCCAGGGCGCTGGCGATGAAAAATCCAGGTGCGCAACTTCCATCAGAAACGAGGAGGAAACGGAGCCAACACAAATCAACCCTGGCGGCATCCCAAAATCACGGTTGCTCCCAACACCCCAGATGCAAGGGGGGGGAATTGAATAGATTAAGGGGTAAAATTATGAGTTTCTCCTTATTTTCTGGCTATGATTTACTTAAAATGGATGGGAGCAATGCTGAAAATGGGGATAAGATGTGGATGATCATTTGGATTGACCAATACCATCTAACATAGCTATGGAAAATGGACCATTTATAGATGATTTAGCTATTAAAAGGCTGATTTTCCATAGCTATGTTAGTTTACCGGATGGTAAGATCTGGATGATCATTTGGATTGACCCAAATTTTGGGGAATCTAAAATAGGTTAAATGGAGGAACACTTCAGCAAAAATTGAGGATTTAACCATCAAACATGGGGGGTTTAACAAACTAAAATACGCACACATGATCATCAATGGGACCATAACCAGCAAATTATGTGGATATAATGGGAATATAAATAAATATGATTTATTCAACAGTATCCAACAAGATGGTAACCCCAATCCTTAGCCAACTTGGTTTATTTCACTAGGCTAACTGTTGGATCTATGGCAGACAACTAGTTAGATGGGCACAAAGTAAGAAACATAACTGGGGGCACCACCTTGTAAGCAACGAAAAACCACACTTCACCCAAGCTTGAGGATTTGTTTCTGTACCACTTTACCTTCTCAGTTTTTTTTCCCCAAAATATAGACTTAGACCTTTCTCCACCAAAGCCAACGAAATATCGAGACTGACTCACATGAAATTGCTGTTTTCCAGGCTTATATATCCCACCAAAAACCGGACTTTCAACGGGCCATCATTGATGCTTAAAAAAACATTTTTCGTGGGATCAATATATGTCGTAACTGTAACTCTAAAGTACCAAGGATGTTGGGGCATGGCCCATGTGAACAACTCACTCAAAGGTGATTTTTTCATGGATTTTCCCTCCAAAACAAAAGTTTATCCTATCAAGAATCGGGGCAACTATTTGCACTTCCTGCTTTTTATATAAGTAGAACATTTTGGGATGGTTTCCCTTACTTATCAAGAGTCGCGACAAACTTTTACCAGAAACATCTATGAATGCTAATAAAACCTCCATCTACATTGCTGTGAACCCGGCAATTTCCGCATTTTCCAAGACATTTGCTCATGATGTTGCAGTCCGCATGAATCATGGTTGTCCAAACTATAACTTCTACCCTGGTGAGTAAATCCCCATGTCGTGGATTATCCCATTTATCTGGGTAAATTATAATATTTCACTAACCTGAATCTTGCGGCCATTTTGGGATGATTCCCCGTATCCTAACTATGATTTCCAGTGAGGGAGAACAGTGAGGTCGTTATAATTTACCCAGATTTCTGGCTCCAGAAACACCAGTTACGAATCGTTTTTGGTGATCCTCCAAGTATCCAACCAGCAACGGGTGAGATGAAGCTCTACCGTCGCGCCTGTTGCCAGCAGTAAAAAACTTAGCTATGCCACGCCGCGCAGGGAGGGCGAAAGGCCGAAGTGCGCGAGGTCTGGAGCAGAGGCAGAGGGATCTGGCCTGCAATGGCGGCTGGGAGGTTCAAAAGCAGTTGGGAAAATGTTGTGATAATTGGGATATCATGGGGGATGTTAGGGTTAATATGACTGGGATGTTATACTAATGAGTGTTAGAGTGCCCTGGTAATTCAACGGTATGAAAAATTACCATTCATAGATGATTTCAGTATTCAACATTGTGATTTTGTTAAATAGCTATGTTGAATTACCAAAGGGTAGTTGCCATTCAAAAAAATGCGGGATTCATCATGAATATGTGTTCATTTTGAGCGGGGACATTTGTGAAACACAGAGCCACCAAAATGATATTTAAAATTTGGGTCTGACTGAAAATCGGATCTATTTTCCACTGGTTGGTGGTTTCAACCCCTCTGAAAAATATTAGTCAGTTGGGAGTATTATTCCCAATATATGGAAAAAACATGTTCCAAACCACCAATCAGATAGTTATTTTGTTGGCATAAACCATAGCTAAGCAAGTTAAACGTGCCTCAACTTCGAAAAATCGTCTGGCGGTACCCTGTACAGATCCCGCTCGCTCCGCCCACCCCCCACCTGGAAAAGCTCTGCAAAGGCATGGTGGGGTCCAGGTGAACAAAATCAGTTGCAGGTAACAAACTGCCTGGTGCCAGGCGGTTGAAACAGTGTCCTTCGAGGTCACAAACAGGTCACAAACAGTCACTCTGGTCGTCGCCGAAAACCCCAAACAAAGCCATAGAAACCCAGCATGTGGCGATTCTACCCTCTGGTAAACTAACAGCTATTGAAAATCACCATTTTTAATGGGAAAATCTACTATAAATGGCAATTTCCAATAGCTATGTTAAATTACCAGAGGGTATTCATATGGTTTATGGTACTTATAACTATAGTTACTGGGGCTTATAACCAACTTACAACTGGGGAGCCATAGAAACCCAACATGTGGCAATTCTATCTCATTTCAATCCCTTGTTGGATTAGACTATTGAGTACTCGGCTGGGAAAAGGACACCTGACTTTTTGTCAGCTACTTCAAGGGCCTTGCCACGCTCGAAAAATCTATCACCGAGGTTTGGGTTCATGTTTTTGTAACTCCAAAAAAAAAAATCGTCAATCATCACTATTTTATTGGGCTTTTATATAGGGGGTTTCACTTAAATTCAATTTCTTTGGGAAGTACTATATCCATGCAAAGTGAGGCCCCCCTGTTAGATTCGTTAGTTTAGATTCACCTCATGAAGACTACGAACCGCAACAAAAAAACCTCTAATCAACCCAACAGTCAACCAAGTTATGTCAACTTAGCCATCGTGAACGGGGGCCTCACCCTGTACCCGGTAATCAAACGTGGCAATAAACCATTCCCCATGGACCATTTTCCCACGTTAACACCTCCATGATCCCTCCCTATTGTTGATGGTTTTTACATCCCCATGAAATGCCACATAATCCATCTACAATCCATATGCTTCATCATCAACCACCCATATCTCCCCTTTTCCGAAGAAAAGATGATGGTAAGTCGCCATTGATGGTGAATCTCCCATGGTTGAGGGTAAACATCCTCTTGAAATGCCGTCAAAAATCCCCATGAAATACCACAGCTGGTTGGTGGTTTCGGTTTCAACCCCTCTGAAAAATATGAGTTCGTCAGTTGGGATCATGACATTCCCAACTAAATGGAAAAATAAAAGCCATGAACCACCAATCAGTATTCCAGTAGTACCGCACAAGGTGGTGGCGGAAGTTTCAAAAATAGGAAACCTATAGGAGAAGTTGGTTGTTGTGAATCAGGGATGGCAGAGCGAAGCCACTGATTGACCGAAAGGTGGTTGGAGTTGTGTTTGCTGGAATGGTTGGAATGGTTGCAATGGTTGCAGTGGTCACCTCACCCACAACTGCTGGATGTAGTGTGATGTACTGTAACTGTAGTTGTAGTTGTAGCGTAGAGGAGTTGTAGTTGTGGTGTAATGTAATTAGTGTAGTGTAGTTGCAGTCAGTTGTAGCAGTTGTAGTTGTTTTGTAGTTGTAGTTGTAGTTGTTGTTGTAGTTGTAGTTGTTGTGTGGTTGTAGTTGTTGTGTAGTGTAGTTAGTAGTAGTAGTTGTTGTTGTTGTTGTTGTAGTTGTTGTGTAGTGTAGTTGTTGTGTAGTTGTAGTAGTGTAGTTGTAGTGTAGTTGTTGTTGTTGTTGTTGCTGTTGTTGTTGTTGTTGCTGTTGTTGTTGTTGTTGTTGTTGTAGCTAGTTGTAGTAGTTGTAGTTCTAGTTGTAGTTGTAGTTGTTGTGTAGTTGTTGTAGTTGTAGTTGTAGTTGTAGTTGTTGTGGTTGGTGTTGTTGTTGTTGTTGCTGTTGCTGTTGTCGTCGAAGTTAGGGTAGTTAAGTTAGTGAAGTTAGTTAAGTTAGTCAAGTTAGTTAAGTTAATCAGTGTCTACTTTTTCGACATCTTCACGTCAAAAAAGGCTCAAAACCCTCAGTTTTTTACACTTTTGACTTCGAAATGTGCTTCGCGCCACAACGGCGTGCACTTTTTCGACATCGGAACTTCCAAAAGTGGTCCGACATTGGTGTGTTTTGTACATTTTGACTTCAAAATGTGCTTCGCGCCACAACGGCGTGCATTTTTTCAACATCTCAACTTCCAAAAGTGGTCCGAACGTGGTGTGTTTTGTACATTTTGACTTGGAAATCTGCTTCGCGCCACAACGGTGTGCACTTTTTCGACATCGCAACTTCCAAAAGTGGTCCGCTCCTCTAGTGTTTTGTACATTTTCACTTGGAAATGTGCTTCGCGCCACAACGGCGTGCACTTTTTCATCTCTCATCTGGCCAGCTGGCTCCGCAACCGCCGCTTTAGCGAGCCTACTTTTCGACCCTCCGGAGCCACAAATCATTGGAAAAACACAGTGAATCGCGACTTTCCTATCTTTTCGCGCATCTACATCTTCTTTCTTCTGATCTTTTCTCTTCTGACTCTTCTCACCTCTGCTTTTCAACTGTCCATATTGTCGGAAGTATAGCTTCTAAACTTCCTTCGAATAGTACCGTACTATATGGATCTATATTGTTATTCTATAGTGGGAACATTAAACACGTAATATTCCAGCACCAACCAGCACATAATCCCTACAAAGTGAGGCCCCCCAGTGATGTGAAGGTTGGTTTAGATTCGCCCCAGTAACTATAGTTATAAGTACCATAAACCATAGTGAAATTGGAGTTATAAACCAACTTAGATATGGCTATGAGTCAAAACCCTGGTACCCGGATGGTACCCTAAGTTGGTTTATGGATGTTTATTCCCCCAAAACATGGTAATACTATAGGTTTTGACCCATCCCCATATCTTGGGGGCCTCACATTTTATGGTTGATGATCAACCCCTATCATTTCGAGATGATTGTCCCTCCATGGAGCGCAATCCACAGGAACCGATCCCCCGCCTGACCGCGCCCTGCTTGAGAGAAATGGCAACGAAGCCAAGCGAGCAAAACCTCAGGTAGGAACCCTGTGGTTTTAAATGGTGCAGTGTTTGAATAATGTTTTAATGGGAAAATCATCTATGATAAAAAATATAGCAACCCGTATAGGTTGTGCAACTGTTGGATTTAGAATAAGATTATAGATATGACCCCAATGCATTAGAATCAACGGATCTAAAGGTTTTTTTTGGGTTGCATTTCCTTAGATTCATAAGATTATAGCAACCTCCATTTTCCCTCTGGTAATTTAACATAACTATGGAAAATCACCATAGAACTAGTGAATTTTCCTATGAACAAATGGTGGATCTTTCCATAGTTTTTTGTAAACGTTTACCAGAGGGTAGATCCCAATCAAATCCCATTCAAGCATATTAATTCCTATTATGACACCCCATATATATATATATGTATATATATATATATATGTATATATATATATACACACCCAGATTAAGAGGTGATGAACCGTCTCCAAAAGAAATTCGCACCGCTGAACAGCGATGATCTTGCCTCCAAGCAGCTTTGAAGAGACAGCAAGGCCTCCGGATGTGCAAAGGCCACCACCGGAAACGTGCCTGGCTCTGCGATGTGTTTTTTTGACGATTTTAAGTGAAGAACTTTAGTTTATCATCGTTTAGGCTATGACATCATATTATGATCATATTATGATATTTATACATATGTATATACAATGATATAAATCTATTCGAGGGGATTGTTTAGTATTAAATCACGATCGTTTTTTCTACAAAATGTCCACGATCTGCATGATTTTTTGCTTCCAGGCGCAAGAATGTGTTGCATGAATCCCCCACTGTGGCATGGTTGCCTTCTAGCATCGTAGGTTGAGATCACAGGGAAAAGTTGTTCTTTCGCGCAAGAAACGTTGGGACGACTTGTACCCAGCAAACTAAAGATCTGTCCGAACATGTAGAGGTTCCACCACTTCAACAAAATCGTCGTAGTAGACCAATATAAAACAATGGAAATCAAATTACATCAATACAATTCAGCAATGCACTGTGTGTTTGCCATAAAAATAATTTGAAATCACTTCAACACACCTACACATATCACATTGTAACATATTATAGTGAAACAGGGGGTCGAACCAGAAACCCAAAAGGTGGGGAACCAATCCGCCAAACCCTGCATACAAACAAGAACCAAATGCCCCCTTTTGCGCGGGGCACTTGAGCCATAGGGTCGGCAACGCTACGAGTTAATCCCCTGACCCAGGTAGTTGTTTGGGTTAGGGGAAAAGGGGAGCCTACCTCTACCTACAACCCTCTACTTACCTAACGCTTCTAGGTAAGTGGTGCTTATACTGTACATACTTCGGATGTATCTAAATTGAACTACGGTTGGACTCATAGCTATGGCAATGCTCTACATAAGACCTACTACCTATGCTGTACATAGTGGGGCTCAGGGGTCGGTATATTTCAACTCCCCCCTCGCCTGTTCCACACGTACTGCGCATTGGCAGTATCCTCGGCACTACTGTCGCGTGAACGGACGTTCACAGCGACCTATGCTTTGGACTTAAGGTCTAAGGGAAGGTCAGTACGTATTCCTAGAAGGATTAGTGCTGCTGCCCACTTGTGTGGAGGCAATGCCTTAGTGAATATGTCTGCCGCCTGGTCATCAGTGTGGGTGTACTCTATCTCAGCAGAGTCATCTCTGAAGACTTCGGACAGGCAAGACAAATTAACTTTGTGTGTTCTAGTTATATGGCGAAGCTTGGGACTATATCCTTTCTTCACAACTAGGATTGTTGCTTGGTTATCTTCGTGGACCTTAAGGGTTACGCAGCGTGCAAGCAACAGCTCCCATAACTGTAAGGCAGGCAAGCCTTGTTGATAAAGCGAATTGGCTAAACTAACAACCTCGCTTTCCGTGGTCGATCTGGAAGTGGATGTTTGGCGCTTGCTAATCCATGCAAGTGGGAAGAAGGAACTAGGGCCAGTTAAAACCAAGAAGCCACCGGAGGTTGAGCGTGCAGTTGATCTGTCGCCGGCGAAGTCGGCATCGACAAACAGTCTGAGCTCTAGGTCTTCAGGCTTGTCCTGAATGGTACCTACTAACCTGTAGTGTGGTGTTGAGGCTATATACTG